GAAATGGCTCTTAATATACTCACCCTTAATGTCAGCCTATAATTCTTTGTTTTCTTACTGCTGGCAGTTTTACAAGCCTTTTTATAACCTTCACCAATTTAAATGAAGTCTTCTCTCATCCTCTCCCTTCTGGGTGACATAACACTATTACTTGAATATATCTCATTATAACTGTTTTCTAACCATCTTGCTTGCCTTTGGCTTTCTGAGTCTTATCTCTGTCTTCCTTAAACTCACCACAGCTAGACACAAGGTTCTAAATAAGCACAAACATTCTTTAAAATTTACAGAATCAGAGATTTTATGTCAAGGCAGCATTATCAGAGTATGTCCTCCTTCCTCTTGTTTATGACAGATTGCTGTATTTCACTGAATTAACCAAGTATCAATAGGCTGACTTTGACTAGATCTACCAGCCATGAGGTTGCTACAGAAATACAAAGACGAGATGAAATCATCACTTCTCGTGACACCCAGTTCTAATGATTAATCTCACCCAAAGAAACATACTTGTATTTTCATTTTCTTAAACATAAATGGCTTTCGCTCCAAGGCACTCGCTCTTGCTATGGCAAGATTAAAATGCCTGTTCTCTTCTATTACTTACAGACGCTTATGAGCTCACCTCTCAGGCTTCTCTTTGATCATATAAATGCACTGACTTAAATCTTCCATGCTAAAGCATTTTTTCCAGCCCTTTTCTCACTTTTTTTCCAGCTTCCCCTTTAAAATGTGCATACCAGAATGGCTCCTAACAGCAATGCCACAGTACAGCAGTGACTTGACTATTTATACTTACTACATCAAACAATGTCATTTGCTTTACAGACACCTTTGGCAACCAGAACTAATGCTTTCAAGGCAGTATCATGGGACACTCCTATAGCTTGAAAGCTCTCCAGTAGCAAAAGGAAGTAGTAGGTAGTTCTACCCTATGGGCACAAACTTAAAATCTCTCCTAAGGTGCCCCTTCTCATGTCCCTTACGGGTTTCAGTCAGCAGCAGATCCCATAAACCGAATGCAGACAGAGATGCTACCAATCAACTGAAAAATCCCCTGGGCACTTTCTTCAATGAACCAGAAGGCTAGTAATTATTCCTGCTCAACAGTAATCCCCACAGCAACCTGCTATTAATCCTCTCTCATCTGAAACATCCATTTACAACACAATTTTCAACTGCTTATTCAATTTCATGGTCTCTGAACTTCGGCCTTGTTTTATGACAACTGATTCTCCTTTATGGTTTTCCAGGGATCTTGTCAAAAGCTATCTGGAAATGCAGCACATCTGTAGCAGCCAGGTTGTTTTTCTCAGAGACTGTTCCCAAAGGGCTGGCCTCAGACTGCCTTGCTGGAGTGGTATGCTTGGGGTAGGTTTACCCAGGAAAAGGGGAGCTCTCAGCTGGCTCTGTAAGCTTTGTCTGATGAGGAACTGGGATTCAGTCTGTTTGACTCTGTGGTGACATGCCTGAGCTGAATTTGTTCCTCAGCTGTGTTGCTTAAGCAGAACTTCTCTAAGTCCTAAAAAAAATGTACCCTCTTAAATAAATGCTTGTGCACAATATATTCAGTCTACCAGATTTCGTCTCCCTGAGAAAACAGGCAGTCCAGGACTTCAGCACAGTGGCATTGAACAAGACTTGCTTTCATCATTTTTCAGTACCTATCTGGCAGCTCCTGTAGATGTGTCACACGCTGTCCTTTGAGAGGTCACAGAACGACAGAAAACAGGGCTGGAGTGCAGCAACCTGGAATATTAGTTGTCCAGAGGCTGTGGAGTCTCCATCCTTGGAGATATTTAAAACCTGATAGCCCTGAGCAACTTGCTCCAGTAAGTGTGTGCTTGAGAAGGTAGGTTGGACTAGGCAATTTCCAAAGATGCCTTCCAACCTCAACCATACCGTAATTCTGTGAATGGAACAGGTAAAGCAGTTTTCAACCTTTCATGATTTGAACCCAAAGAAAGTTTCCAATTCATTAGTGGGTCCATTTAGAAATTTCTTGTGTGTAACTGATTTTACAGAATCCATGAACTGACTTTGCTTAGTCAGTACACACTTACCCTTTAAACTAGACCCCAGACACATCCAAAAGTCTACAGACTCTGAGTCCAAAACACTTCCAGTCCATCTCCTTTCCCCACAGCACAATCAATTAGCCATAAGCCACTCATAGAGCCATTGCTTATGTCACCCATCAACCCTCAAGAATGTGGACCTGAATATCAAACATAGCTGAACAACAATTTGTTTTACTTAATGAAGTTCCAATGCCTTCTTCCTATAGATGCTCTTGACAGTCAGGTAACACTGAGCTTAGAGCTGCTTTCTTTCCTCTAGATAGGAGAGCAAGCAATTTGTTTCCTACGTAATTTCCCTCAACTGTGCCCAACTGTCCTTTGCAAATATTTAATACTGGGAAAGCTGAAATTGCTGGTCATTATCAACCCACGAGATCTGCAAATTACTTAATTTCCATGTGTGAAATTAGAGGATGAGCAGTATTATTTTAAGGTTTACATTTAGTATAGATGATGCACTGACTGCCATCACAGTGTTCATTTTCAACTTTCAAGGAACATTAAGATCTGTGGGCCATATTCAGACAACTTCTCTAAATACTTAACATCACTAACGCAACTGCTCCTCTCCACTGAGCTGGAAAGTGGCAGCCCTGAACAGCTGATGGGCTTAATCACACACCAGTAATCCCCTGAATTCCAGTGCCACAACATTCCCATGACATCAGTGTTGGATAACTGATCAAGAACCTTATTTGTGATCACTCACAAGCACACAGCTCAGTTTTCCAGTTTTCTGTTCCTTGCTCCCCCTGCCCTCCTCACTTGCTCAGCAATGCATCTCCATACCTCTGGTTCTTAGATTTCTCTGCAGACTCGGAGAATTCTTCTCAATCGCTTTCTAAGGAGCACATGCGCTTACAAGTGAAAGGCAGGAAATGGTACAGGAAGAAATAGGACAGAAAAATGTTCCCAGTATGTAACCTGCTGATGTTCTGCAGTTCCAGGGTCCAGTGGGGCTCCAGGTCCTGTCCCCGTAGTAGGATCAAGCCCTCTTTGGTTGTGATGAGCAGGCTGCTGCAATTTGTGTCGGGTATCTTCATCGTCTGCAGGAAGTCAACACCCCCACTGGTACAAACAGAAAGCAGAGAGGAGATTCTGAGGCTTGTATGTGCATATCTCAGCACTAGCTGCCTGTCCACATGGCAATTCTTCCTATCTAAGATTTCAATTAATCTTGGAGAAGCCCACCTTTTCCTTAGTAATGGAGCTTAGCTTCATTTGGGGGTTTCTCAGTTAAGTGGGCTAAATTCGGGTGTGGCATCTTCTGAACATCTTGATTTTCTACAAAAAGCATGGAGTCTGGGGGTTCAGATTTGTTCCTCCATTTATTCCTATCCAGGCTGACCTTGATTACAATTTGGCAGTAAAGAAGAAAGAGTTGAGAAACCCAGGCCCGCAATGCTGTACACAGACAGAGCTGCCCAAACAGACTCCATTAGCTGGGAACATCTTTTTTTCCTCCAGGTATGCACAGGGGGTGGAAGAAAGGAACAAGGAGCAGGAGAAGGAAAGGATTCCCTTTTATCATACTCTGCACTTCTTTTGCCAGGATAACCACAAGATGGAGGAAAAAATGGGTTCCCCAGACTACTGTTATCAACTGTGTGAGCACTAAGAGTGCCTATGCTCCCCTTCCTCTCCCAGCAGAAGCAAGATGACAAGTCCATCTCTCCTACCTGTAAATGTCAATGAGCTCTGACAGGTTGACAGATCTGCGCTTTTCCCACTCTGGCTCCTCCTGCTGCAGCATTGCAGAAAAGCTGTCCCGGTTTCTGGCTTGGGTTAAGATATCCCTCAGGGCAACTGCTTGAACATTACCTGCCAGGAAGAATAAAGATGAAGAATCCTGCCTGCAAAATTCCCTAGTAGCATGAAGGGTCCTTGGGACCACTGCAGTTGTGGAGGAAGGCAAGGAAAGGCCCAGAGCTGGAACTTCCCTGGCATGATGCACCTTTGGAAAACTCCAAGGTATTCCAGGCTAGCAGGCATTGGTGCTCCTGCACTTTTCTACACCATGTCAGTGAGACCTGTTCCCATGCCCTCTACTCTTAGCTTTTACAGCAGAAGGCATGGTAGAAATATTGCAGGGATGCTCTGGATCATTTTAGGTAAAATGAGTGTTTTCTCAGTAAGGTGAAGTGCTGGAGAGCCAAGGTGCATCTTACCAAAACCAAACAGGATGTAGATATCTCCCCGGCTGGTGATGTGGACTTGAGGACCAATCACTTTCCCTTCTCCATTGGTGCTGTACTTCACAGGCCCACCTAAAGCAGTTCCAGTCTTTCCTGACACCAAGATGAAAACCAAATCAGGCTGCAAAGAGAAAGATGTAGAGATTTTCAGCAGTGCTTTCATGCACTTGTGCTCTCAGAATCTTCCCTGGTCTCCACAGCATGAAGCTCCATTGCTCTTTCCCCCCACAGCAAGGTCTAGCTAGTGGTCTCTTTCTCTTTGCTGTCTGGCTTCCTGGGAGTTGTACATCCACACTTTTATCTTGATGGCAAACAGAAAATTCTCAAGTCTCAGCTAGGGGTAAATACTGACCCTTCTGTTCATTCCCAGCTGACAAGAAATGCAGGTAGCGTCATTATTGCTTGATCTCACTGCTCTGACTTATTAAAAGAAAAAGGGTGCTTTTCAGGGAAATCTAAGATAAATGAAAATTATGGGCTGTTGCAGCACCTGTTACAGCCTTTCCACATCAGGCTCCCTGTTCTTCCTCTAGATAGTCAAGGTCATTTCAAACCTTGAGCAGAGGTATGCTGTACCTGTGTCTCTTTGAGAGCCAGAACGACAATATCCCTAATCCCATCTCCATCTACATCCGGAAGAGTTGCAGCTGGTGCAGCCAGGATCCCACTTGAAAGGTGGATGGAGTTCAGCTTCCAGATGGTCTTGCCTGCAGGAAGAACAGGATGAAAGAGACCTGCAGCACTTGGGGAACCGGTGGGTATGCCCAGAAGGTTCCACAAAACCTTCTTGAAGGAGGGAGCAAGAGAGGTTGTTTCCCCTGTTCTCTGAGAAAAGGAAAGACAAGACTACAAACTGGGGCAAGCTGCAGTGGGAAGCAAAGTCCTACCCCCAGCACTTCTTCAGATTGTCTCTGAATCATGCCTCAAGTCCTGCTGTGCTTCCTTCTTAGCATCTCTCTAGAAAGACCTGAGCCCAAAACAATTTGTGAAATAGCAGAGAATTATTTGAGGTTCACTCTTGGAAGGAGAACCTAAATGGGAGTGCTGCTCTGCAGGACAGCAGTTATTTTCCTCAGCCAGCAGTAAAGCCTGTAGGTAGATGCCAGAAAAGGGAACAGATGGGCAGTTCTGATATTCAAAGTGCAAATCTGTGTCTCAGTTAAATTCCCAGCAGCAAATAGCCACTCCAGCATGGCGTCCTCACTCCACCTCAGGCTGAAAGCATGTTAACATGTCATGTCAAATGGT